TATAGACATGATTATACATGAAGCTGGTTGATTCCACGTCTAGGCAGATGCTCACACTGCTCCGTGAATATCTATCCTAAGCATATGAGAGTGCATGGTCTAGGTCTGTATGACTCTTTGATGTGATTAAACGATGCAGTTCACATCAGATATGATTTGATCCGAGAAATTATTTTTCAGCGCGGCACAAAACCTTAACTGTGCAGCATTTCTCTCATCGTGTCCATTCTTCTGTCTTTTATTTTATTTTTTACAGTTAATCTCTTTCGACTATATCTCTCCTTTTGTATCATGGCAGTAATAATAATGAAAAAAAATGAGATGTTCCTCTCGGCAATAAAGACACCATGAGATACAAAGGAAGGAGAGAAGGAGCAAAGGAGAAACAGGGGGGGGGGGTCTGACAATCGCATTAGCCAGACTGCATGGTTGCTTTTTTTGGAGAAAAAAAAAGAGAATGGCGTGTCTCTATTTGTGTTTGTGTGTGTGTGATCCCTTATGTGTGTGTGTGTGGGAGAGCAGAGAAAGCACTCTGCAGATATTAGCTAGTTCTTCATTCACTTGCTAATGTGATTTCACTCTATACACCACACATACACCACACACACACTCCCGCAGGAAAAGACCTTGAATGTCAGACACCATCTGTTCCATCTCTCTTTCACTTTCTGTAAAAGAATTTTGGTTTTACCTCATAAATCTCACAACGCATAAATCCAGAGATAAATTGTAACAAAGGAAATCGAGTATACAGGGTGTGTATGTGTGTGTGTGTGTGTGCGGAAGTTTGTTTCGGCAGGAGTGAAGCATAACAAATAAGATATTGGAGAGGAAGCCGAAGATAATGGTTTTAGGTTTATTTACATAACACGATATTTGCTGTTTTTTAGCAGCAGGTTCCCCATGGAAACGAGCAAAACTCTGTCTTTTCGTGCAGTTTATCAATAAGTTTGTGTTAGTTATTAGCTGGCTTAACTGTAATTGATAAAAGTGAACTGATAAATTATTCTTCTTGTTGCGTTACCAAACAGCTGCATTACCACCACCCTCTGGACTAGAGTGGGGCTCACATATATTTAAATATATAGATTTGCATGTATGTGAGAAATGCAACAGTTGCAAGTGGATTTGTGATCTGGTTAACAAGGTACGCAAATATGTGGTGTATACAAAGGTTTATTAAATTGTATGGAATTCATTTGAAATTAACAGTTAGAATATGTCCTGATAAATAAAAATGTATCAGCAATATATAATCCTGGTCAGATTATATCCAATTTGAATTCATCTCCATTTATGCTGCAACTACTATACAGTTAATACAGTCACATTGTGCCACTATTTGAAATTGTTCGTATGTCACCAATATGCTGTGTGGGGATGGTTATACGATGAACGTATTTCCAAACTTTTTTCCTTTACCACCTCTTTCTTTGAGTTATTTAATTTACTCTGCTTTCAGGATTGCCAGATTGCAGACATTTAATTTATTGATACTCATCTAGCGTAGTGTCTGTTTGTGCTCTAGGCTTTACAGTAGCACAGCTAACAAAGCTTGCATTTAAATGTGCAGAGATCATTTGATTTGGAGGTGACACCCTGTGCTTCATTACACGCACATCATGACTATCATGCCTGTATGTTGTTCTCAATATGAGGGGGAAGAAAGGCAGTGAAATAACAGAAAGGAAAGCACATTGTTGAATCACACAGTAAAAAGAAAAAGGGAAGATATATTAAAAGAGTGGAGATGAGAGGAGAGAATGACCAAAAATAGGATGGCAGCAGAGACGGACAAATACAGAGACGATATGGATTGGGAACAGAGGGAAAGATCAAAGAGATGTTTGGTGCTTTCAAGAAAGTGGCCACCATGTGTGCTTTGAGTGGTATTGGACTAGATGAGAGAGAACGAAGGAATACAAAAGGAGTGAGTCGGCTAAGAAGGACCAACTGAAAGAAATGGGAAACAAGTGAAAGCAAAATTGACAAGAGAGATAAAAGATAGAAGCATGTTGTACAGAGTGAAGCACAGTTTGGATGAGCACAAAGGTCAGACAGATTATAGAAAAGTATATGTACAGAAGAGGAACAGATTTACTATATAAGTTCAATTCAAAAGGAAAACTGTATCAGGGATGGGAGATGTCGAACAAGAGGAGAAATGGAGGTATAGAATGATTTAGACTCAGTCCCAACAAAGCCCTTGCACCTACCTCTTAGCTCAACCCCTCCGTTTTACTTGTTCACATGTCGGGGTTGGGCGTCCCGATTCTTGCTGTGATAGAGGGCTATAGGGCGAAGTGCTAGGGCTATATGGCCCTCCAAACTGAGGTGTTCAGAGGTGCACTCCAAAGCGAACGTTATGAAAGCAAGGAGGTATTTTCTTTATTGATAAAGTTTTTGAAATGATGAATAAATTAATTAATTTCATATTGTTTCAATGTGTTATTGAATTTCCCTGACACGTGATGCCCAACATTTGAAGTCCTGCTGCAAAGTTTCTGTACTTGTTACCGCTCCTCTGGCAGGGTAGGAGGGGTAGGAGCACAGGTAGCTAGTCACGAGGTGGCCTGTCTTGTCTGTTTACGTAACCACCATCTACGACTACTATAAAGTATCAGGGTCTTGAAGGGTTGTCCCATTTCATAGGGGAAGATTTCAACCACCACCCCTTGTAACTCTGCTCTGAGGGGAAAAGCCAGGGTGTACAAATAAGAAAAGAGATTGGCCCCAAGGGGTTTGGACAGGGTGAAAAATCAATGCAATATGAAGAGGAGGAGGGGAGATGGTGAAAGAAATAAAGGTCCATACCGGAGGATAAAAGCAAGGTTGGAGAGAGACGAAGAAGATGACATATATATATATATATATATATATATATATATATAGAGAGAGAGAGAGAGAGAGAGAGAGAGAGAGAGAGAGGGCTGAAAGAGGGCAGGTTCATAAAGAAACGTTTGGCTGTGGTTGTTTTACTCTTAATAAATCAGACAAATTGAAATGTGGAGACAAAAGAAGAAGAGGATATATTGAGAAGAAAGATGAGTGCAAGGATTGGTTAGCGGAATATAGAATTTTAGGAAGTCAATGCATTGATTGTGGATTGTGAACTAACTGGAGATGCATGTTATGCTAAATATCAAAGGTTTCCTTGTTTGTGAAAGGTATACATCAAATATTTTCCGACATTCCTTTAGTGTTTTTTCTTCGTTAAGGCAGGGAGTGGGACACACAGTTCAGAGGAGTGAGTAAGGATCAATCCGGAACTAACGTCTAACTAATGAATAGCTATTGAATCAGTTCCAGAAAAATAAACAAGGCGACACATGTAATACTGAAGGATCCAAGAGATTTATGTTATCCCATGTTTAAAAGCATCACAGATGGCACTCTGACGGGGATGAAGGGGAGGGAATAATTAAAGATAGATTCCAGAGGGAGAAGGTCTGTATAGGGTGAGTGGAAGGATGAAAGTGAATGTAGGTTGAAAAGAAAGGTGGTCTAGAGAAGGGAAATGAAAAAAAACGACGCAGTAGAAATTAGGGGACGGAGGTTAAAAGGAAAGAAGGTGACACAAGGGTAATGAGGAACATAAGGGTGAAAAGAAGAAAGAAAAGAAAAAAAAAGTTAGCTGTAGGAATGCCAGGGAAAAAGGCGGAGAGAGGAAGAAGAGAGATTCAGGTTGGTAAGTGCCATAGTAGCTTCTTTCACACGGGATGTTCAAAGCGGCACTGTTTCGCCGTTATCCCGCCTAGCTGGGTGGTGCCAAAGGTACGGACATGGGACGGACAGAAAATGGACAGACGGTGGCCGGACCACATGCACACACACTAGACACCGACACTGTTGTGTCACGCCTCTTTTGCCTCCAGGATGTTGGCAAGCTATCTAAAATCACACACCGGGGCAGCAATGTGCCAGTGTTGTTTGATTCAGTGTAAAAAAGCAAAGCCGGCGTAATGGCGGTTCTTTCTTGTATTGCGGAATCTCTGTGTAAAAGGGGCAAGAGAGGAGAGCAGAGAGGAAGACAAAAAAAGTGGAGAGGAAAGTGTGTAAGAGGGAAGAAGAACACGAAGTTAGGCGACCTAATGCTAGAGGAAGGGCTGGTGCGAGTGGAATGAGGAAGAGGAGGAGAGATGAAAGCGGAAGGGAGGAAATGAAGGAAGGAGGGAGGCAAAAGAAAATAAAGACTGGTAGTGGCGGGAAGATGGTTCGGTTCTTGTCCGCAATGGGAAAAAAAAGCTTGCCTTCCGTTCCTCCTTCTCTCCTTTTCCTCCTTTAATTTAAAGAGTCTAAAAGCTGAAAGCACACCTGGGTAGTTGTGTGTAAGCTTATTTTTGGAGGTCACACTCAAACAAGAAGTAGAGATTAATGGCGGCCTGGCCTCCTTACTTACAAACCCAGTGACGTTGTTCCTACTTATCTAACCAGGGCTCACATTTGTGTTGGTACACTTTGATCTTGTGCCTTGGTTTATTTAAAAAAAACTTTTTTGAGTCGTGGCTGTTTGTCCGTCTTTATTTATTGTAATCATGGAGAGTTGATCATGTTCTGCCCCAGAGGCTCTATGCCAGACAGGAGCAAACATCAGTGATAGGAGTGTAATCTAACTGGCAAGTATCATTATTACGGGGACCAGATGTCCCGGCTTGTTTTGGATTGTCCCGGTTGTTGAAGCTGGGTGTCCCAAATCCCGGCAAATATCTGTAAATGTCCAGATTTTCATCTAAATTCAAATAATTATACAAAACTTGTTTTCAGCTCTCACATAGATCATGCTTTTTATCCAAAAGTTACAACAACGTAACCGACATAGAATTTCAGTCATAAAAACATTTGACAAGCATTTAAGTTTTGGGGAATTTTAAAATGACTTGACCAGTAATGAAGAGCTTAAACGATTCACAGCTGTAAGGCCTTTTGTGTTTTTCTTGTGGATGTATTATGTTTGATAATTTGCTGATAATGTCAACACGTTCTTCTTTGTGTTTCTACAGGATAACAGGCTTCCAGATTCCTACGCCTGTCACCAGCACAGGAAATGTCTTCTCTTTGAGGTTGACCAGTGACTTTGCTGTGTCTGCACATGGCTTCAAACTCAACTACGAAGGTCAGTCAGCGTCTTTCTGTCTTTGTGTGTGTGTGAGGTGGTATGTGAGAGCGTTTAGGCTGAGCTTCAATGTTGACATCTATAGTTCAGTGCACTGTGTGTTGTTTACCCGGAGCAACCCCTGTTGATATTTGCTGGACACAATAGAACATTTAAACATTAGGTTATATGTTTTTCTTTTGCTAACACTTTACTTTAAGTCCCCCTATTTAGAATTTGTGAGCAGTATTAATATTTGATAAAGAGGCGTTAACACACCATAATGTAAGGGATGTAAGTTGATATAAGGATATTTTTAAGTCTTTATGAATGTTCAGTATTTGTAAGCAATTAGAATTTCTCCAATGAAGACATATTTTACTGTATTTTCATTTAACTGTGTGTTACAATAGCGTCATTCATTATCTGTTCATTCACCGGCATCCGTTTATGGGCGTTGAATAAGGGGACTAGAAGTAAAGTGTTTTTGTATGTTGCAGACATATATAGCGTACATGATTTCTTTTCAATTCGTTTGTAAGGCCATTCGGATTTTGAAAGTTTTCAAGGAAAACTGCCATATTCTGAACTCAATCCACTCCCTCACTCCTTTACCCTCAGCACAGTAACTTCCTAATGGGTGACAAGTTCATTCCTTTTCAACATTGCAGGCTGTCAAATCCAGACAGAGAAAGGAAAAGCATAGACAGAGCATGACACAGAATGAGAGCATCTCAGGTCTTGGTATTATAGGCTTTCAGGGACAGAAACTGGGTTTTATGGTCATATTTATGCCACAGCTACAACGATCTAGACTTTACAGATCAGTCCATTTTCACCCTCTAAAGCTAAGGGATCGGGCACACAATGAACTTCAGCTAAAATCTCTTACACATTGGATTTAGTAAATGTTTTGCTTCCATATTTAATATGTATTCTTATTGATATATCTAGTTTTTCACCATGAAGATTAAACATTTTAACAAAGACGTGATGTGGGCCTTGCTTCCAGAGGGAGCTTGGCCCATTCCAGGGGTAGCTAAAGCGTCCCCCTTTTGCCCTCTCCCTTCAGGCCCTTAGTAAACATCACGGTACCATTTTCACAGATGAAAGAAGAGATATGAATAGTTGAAGTGATGGTTAAAATTAGAACTCACTATGTATCAGCACCATGTCCTGTGTGCATTAACGATTTCAGACTAGATTTAGATTAGAACAACTTTGATGTCCTCACTGAGACAGTTAGTTCCGGAGCATAAAACACAGGAGCATGAAATTGTCTACCGGAGGCACACGCATGATAATGCGTAAAGTCAACAAAACAAATAAGTACACAATTATGTAGCTTCCTCGCTATTCTCTGTGATGTGTTGAGATGTCATTTGAAAGGACACGGTGCAAGACATGTACTGTACTTATTACAGAAGATAATACGCATTAAACATTAGGTTTAACAAAATGCAATGTCATTACCCGTAGGTTTGATTACCTTTATAATCATATGCTTTTTGTCACGCATCTGAATGCTTAATGTTAAAGTGGGGGAGGTAAACAGGTGGTGTATGAGATGCAGTTATGGGCAGTCAAGGTAGTCAAACCTATTCAGGCTTTTGTGAAAAAGGCCTGTTGAAAATAACTGTAGATGGTGTTCATGCTTATTGTATATTAAATGTATGTTTGCACAGTTCTGTTCGCTAACTTTCAGATGACAGCTTGTTCACATTTACATGCACACACATAGACACGCACACACACACACACACAACACACTCACACAGCGTTGGTCACAGCTGGTTGCTGTTGAAAAGGACTGCTTAATGGTCTCTCTGCGTGTCCCTCTGCATCCTTCTAAGGGCCTTTGTGCTTGTCTGGATAGGTTGGATGGTTGGTGGGTGTTCAGTTTGTTGGTACGCGTGTCTGGTGTGCCGCATAATGACAATATCACTGATTGCGAAGTGCCTTGGTGAAAGTCTGCACGCATGCTGCATCTGAGTTTGTGTGTGTGTGTCTGTGTGTGTTTGTGCTACTTGTACATCCAAGCAGTTGTCCCAGATTTATTCACTGGCACTAGTTTCCACTTCCTACTTGGCCCATGTTGATTCTGTGTGCTTCTCTACGGGCGTGTGCTTATATGTGTGTGTGTGTGTGTGTGTGTGTGTGTGTGTGTGCGACACAGAGAGTTTGCTCCAGGGGATTTATCCAAAGAGTTCCTTGTTTCCGATACATTCAGCTGTTTGACTTCCTCTGTGTGTGTGAGAAAGGGAGAGTGTACTCACTCTTGGCATTTGCCAAAATGCAACATTATGCTGATGATCTTTCTATATTCGGCATCTCATACTGTCCAAAACACGCAGCTTGGCTGGGAATTTACACAGAAAGGAGGGTATTTTCTAAGAAGGAATGATCCACCCTGGTTTGGACAATTTTTGGCAAGTCATCTTTACTCCACGTAATCCTTCTGCCTAATCTGTTCCTTGAGCCAATTCAGATTTTAGATTTCTGCAGGTATTGCCTTAGCATTGTAAAAAATACATTTTTAGAAAAAAAATGGAAAAAATCATCAGCATTATTGATGAAAGTACAAAGTAAAATGAACCGATACAAGTACTTGTTAAATCTCTCACTCACACACACAATATCTACACATTACCGATCTAAGAGTAGGATTACTCCCCCCCCCCATATGTAAGGCCAGCATTGTCCCTACATTACAATCTACCAAAGCACACATTTATTAATCTGGTTAAATTTCTAGTGACAAAGATTTATCATGTACAAGATAAAGTAAGTTGGAGCATGAGAACAATAAGCGGGTTATTGCAGCATCACAAGTGATGCAGGTGTTTTTACCTTGCTGTGTAGAGGGAACCAGGGCTACACTCTGTGTCTTCCAAAAGATCTATGATCCAACACTCACCTGTGGTCATGAGCTCCCCAGTCATGACTGAAAGAGCGAGATCACAACAAAACATGTATTCGCTTTACAGCGTGACTCAACTTAAAGATGAGGGTGCGAAGCTAAGAAATAGGGGGGAAGGAGGTCGGAGTCCTTCACATTGAAATGAGCCGACGTCATTTGGGCATCTGATGAGGAAGCCTCGTGGACATGTTGCCGTTGAGTTATTCCCGGCACGTCAAACCAGGACGCGACCCTGGGGGAACACCCAGTAGATCCTGGACGGCTCACCTGGCTTTGTGAACACCTCGGGACTCACAAGCCCAGGAGGAGCTGGAGAATGTGGATGGGGAGGACTGCTCTGCTCAACCTGCTGCGACTGCACACCTTGGAGCTGGATGTGCTGTAGAGAAAGTATGAATGGATAGATGGATGAATGGATTACCGCTCTGTATTATTCCATTATAAAACAGAGGTACATGAAAAAGGTTAAATTCATCGCTCGCTCGATAGGAGCAGATTTTGCAATTGGCGGGGCAAAGGTACAGTAGTGCAGCTCTATCCTTTTCAGCCTGTCTGCTTGGTGGAATACACTTTGATGTAATCCTTGTGTCTTCCTCTGAAGACTGTCAGGTCATAACTAATTCATACACCAGCATCATACCGTACAGTATGTATAGATGCATGTGTGTGTGTGTGTGTGTGTGTGTGTGTGCGTGTGTGAAATGGAGAGAGATGGAGAACAATGTAACAATGTAGCATGATGTTGGAGGCAGTTTGATATTGTGCTGATGAGACAGAATCATAGATTATCACAGCACTTAGACACCACACACACACACACACACACACGCACACACACACACAATGCTCTTTCTCAGCATGGTCATTGTTGAAGGATTATTCCTTTTGTTTCCTCTTACTCCTCCTCCTCCTCCTCCATATTTATCTGCACCACCTTGTTCATCTTTATACATCTACTCTTATTTGTATTTTTTTATGTGATCTTACCTTTGTTGACTTATGTTTTTGACTTAATTGAATGACAAACACTCAAGTAAATAATAAACAAAATAGTAGCAAAAATGTTCTCAAAGTACATCTTTTGGGCATTTTCATATGAGAACTAGAACAAGTTCAGACCATAAAGAAGCACATAATGTACAGACATGGAGATGCATACCATACAGAAGCAGACTCACGGCTCCCAGATGTAGTCCTCCTCCTCACATGGACTGGAGAACATATTCTTCAGCCGCTGCCATGTGACCAACAAGTCAGCAGAGATGTCACTCCCCTAATCCCCAACCTTTCATCACTTCTGCTGTTTGTCATCTTCTCCTCTGCACTTATATTATCTCCACTGCTTGTTTTTCTCTTCTCTATGACTAACAGCGATACACTTTTTTACCTTCATTTACACTTACCACAGAGAGTTTGCATAGTTCCTCAAGAGAAGGCATGAACAAAAGACTAATAAAATATAGAAGGGGGGGGACAAAAACAGAAAACACATTCAACGGAAAATGGTTTAAGGTGCACAACACACTCAAAATGTTTATTTATTCATAGCAAATAAAAGGAAGAACAGGTTCCTAAACACAAATCAAAGTCAGAAATATTACATTTCGTCTTCTGAAAGTAATTTTATTTAAAAGTGGCAATCCTTAAGGTTTCACTCCTGGTTGATTTTGTATTTTGTATTTTAGTGGAAACAATGGAATGGTGCTCAGAGTTTAGCAGTCTTCTAGTTGATACACAGTGAATTGTGAAGGTATAAATTCTGACCGAAGCAGGGACGGAGAGAGTGGCATCGGTCCAAATGAAATAAGATAAATGGAGGGATGACCTTCTTTCGATTAGTCCACTCCTTAACCTTCACCTTTTTGGGGGGTTTGAAATTGTATTTTTTGCAAACAAACAGGTCGCTGCTGGCAGCAGGTTAATAAACACGTTGGGAGCTCTCTCTGGCCAGATGGATCACTTACATCAATAGACCCTTCTCCATCTGGGCATTTATCCATCAGTTCCACACACTATCATGGAGAGTGTTACTTACTCACAGATGTTTACAGCCAATCCAGTGACCTTCCGCACACACACACACACACACACACACACACAC